CCACCAGAACAAATGGTGCTCCCCATGAGAACACTATCAACTGAACAATTATTTTCCTGGTCATTATTGTGCTATAGTGCAGAGGATGACAGATGGCCACATACCTGTCAAAGGCCATTACCATCAGTACAGTGTGTGAAGTAGTGCCAAACATATGTGTGATAAAAGCCTGAACCACACATTCATAATAACCGATTAGACGTTCAGCAGGAGGCAGTAAGATGTCTGAGAGCAAACGGGGTAAAATATGAGTACTTCCAATGATATCACTGATGGTCAGGTTACAAAACAGCACATACATCGGCTGATGAAGGTTCTTTTCCATAAAAATTATTGCTAAAATTCCCAAATTCATAATCATAAAAACTATGTAGGAAAACAGAAAGAGGAAAAAGACAAGATGAACAGAATCCTCTTGAATTTTTAAGCCCTCCAGCTGGAGTATGGGGCTGTTGAAGGTGTTGTTTTCCATCTAGCTGAAAAATAAATAAATGGTTTACAAAACTGGTCGTTTGCTGCTGAAATTATGTTAAAAAGCACTTCTTTATCAAAAGTACACTTGAATGAAATAAATGGAAATATTAACAAATGTAGAAGATATTAGTAGACAGTATTTTAGACTATTAAACCCATATTATATAATAATAGAAATTAATATGCAAAAATTTAAAAACATTAAAGCCATTCTTTGAATAAAACATAGCTTCTTCTAGATGTAGATCTGATGGCATTGGGCTATCTTTCTTACATTTACCTGAGCTATCAGTGTTGATTAATATTTAGAAGCAGTTGGGTGGGGGTGAGGTGGGGGGGGGGTGCTTACATGGTCTTATTGTGTGAGGTAATATTTAGGAATCCACCTTCTTTACTTCCAATTAGACAGTTGCATTGGCACTAGGCCTTTTTAAAAAAAAAAAACAATATTAGTTAACTAAAAGAAAAGTGAAATATATGATTACCACATGCAGCGCTTTTGACCCTCATCACACCAACAGGGACAACAGGCCACCATGTATAGAACTCACCACTCCCGGAGACTGGCATAAGAACCTACAAACATATCTCCCCATCGCGGAAAGCAGCCCCGACCAACCATCGTAATGTTTCACTCAGAAGTTCCAAGGCCGAGCCTACGCTTTTTGGGATGCTGCATTAATAAGGTGTAACTGGACTGTGGTTAAGAATTATCCCATGTTCAGCCGAAAAAAAGCTGCTCAGCATTTTTACTATAAAGATAAGGTTGTCTTCGGGTGGGGTTGGACCTCACCATGCTGTTTGTGCTGTTCATGGATCTTGACTGCTACACCATGTGCTGGTCCCCTTCTGGTCTGTGTTAGACTATATTCTATAGCATCCACAAAAGTGTTTAACTGCTGAGCATTAATAGCTGGGATGGATTTCGTCATGATTATAAACTCATAGTTTAAAGAGGGTAAAATGTGAGTTGGAGTTCAGTCTCTGGCCCAAATGAGGTGGCGGAAGGCGCCTATATTCCAATTTACCATTGTTAAATGATGGGATTTGAAAGATATGGCCTTTAAACCTTTAGGGGGCAAAAGAGGTGATCGAGCACAATCTGGGCCTGGTTTAAATGAAATCTTGCACATGCAACGAAGAGTGCATAGAGTGCATTTCTTCTTTCTCCTTGTTGAAATCAGAATACTTCTTTTAATTGGTGCTGAGCCTACCGTTTCATTAGGAGGTTGACTAAAAATACATAAAACTATTGACCGTAATTTAACCTATTCTACAAACTGTAACTATTGATTTTCAAGTTTTAAAACTCAAAAAAATATATATAAAATCAGTTCTAATGATCACTGATAGTCAATAGATCCGTTACTCAGTACTTCAGTAGCCTTTTTATGAAGTACTTTTAAATCTTACTTAATTAAAGTTTTATATCATCACCAGGGTGAATCCTCCTATGTGGCCTATGCTCCAGTTATAATAAACACCTTAGTCAGCATCACTTAACATTTCCAAAGCATATATATATATATATATATATATATATATATATATATATATA